TTGCTTCTTTTTTTTTTAACTGCACAGTATTTAAGTGATTGTATAAAGGAAAATGAAAATGTAATAAAAGAATCTTTGATAGGGATATTAAAAAAAAAAACATGGACAAACAACTCTAACTTTCTCGGTTACTGTTTTTCCCAAGTACTTCAGCAAGATCCCTAATGTGGCTCTTTGACAGACACTTAACAAAGCCTGAATTAGAATAACATCTTTGAAAAGAAAGATGAATTCTAGTCTTGAAACGCCGATAGAAAATATGATTATATAGTGTATTAAAATTGCTTCCCTGTGGCTATATTTCCAGAATAGAATCATTTAAGAGAAGTGACATAAATCAAATTAAAAAACACTGCTTACTCACCGTAACACTTCTAATTTACAGTCTGAATGTTCGAGACCGTTACGAAGCACTTCCACTACACCATCAATATTGTTGATGGGAAACAACTCTAACTCTTTTAATGTCTGATGTTTCCTGAATACATCTGAAAGATGACTGCTGAAAAATTCAGTCAGAAACTTTCCACCAAGTCTGCAAGGAAAAGTGCAAATACTGCAATTATTTCTTGAAAAGCAAGCATGGATTGTGTTTTGTAGAAATTGAAGAGAATGTGGTTATATATGGCAAATGTCTTCACACCCTGGTTATATTTCTGGAAGACAAACACACAAAAGAAAGTAACATATATAAAACTGAAAAAGAAACACTGATCACTCACCCTAGTTTTATTACATTACAGTCTGCATGTTTGAGTCCCTCACATAACATTTCCACTGCTATGTTATTTGTGTTATTGGTTAATAAATCCAACTCTCTCAATCTCGTTTTTTTTCTCAGTATTTCTGCAAAAGACCTACAGAAGGATTCTGTCAGGAACTCTCCCTCAAGCCTGTAGAAAAAAGTACAAAATATTACGATTATTCCTTCAAAAACAGGCATGGACTGTATTCTTATATGAATTGCAGAGTATGGGCACATATGGCAAATGATTCCTCTCCCTGAATATATTTCCAGAGCACAAACAGTCAAGAGAAAGTACATCAAATTAACAAAAAAACAGTGATCACTCACCTTAGTTTTTTTATTTGGCACGCTGAATGTTGGAGCCCCTCACACAGCATTTTCTCTACTTTTTCATCTAGACGGCAGAGAAATAACTGCAACTCTTTTAATCTCTTAAGTACTTCTAAAAAATCACTGCTGGATGTGTTGGACAGAAATCCTCCATGAATACTGCAGAAAAGAGCGCACATACAAACACACACACACAGAGACACAAATAAAATTATTTAATTTACACAATACAAAGTAACAGTGTTGGAAGGACACCTGGAAGTCTTCGACTCACTCTCAGCAGAAAGCCTATGCCAGTGATGGCGAACCTTTTTTGGCTCGCATGCCAAAAGGGGGGAGCACAGGTGGGTTGCATGCGGGCATGTCCACCCATTATGCAATGCGCAACCGCCAGCACATATGCGCACATGACCAGCACTTCCCCCCCCATTTTTTGCATGCTTTTTTGCCTTCCCCAGGCTCCAGAGGCTTTATAAGAGCACGGGCAGGGTGAAAACAGCCCCCCCCCCCGAATGCCTCCAGAGGCTTCAGGAGCACAAAAAATCAGCCCTATGGGCAAACCAGAAATTCAGGAACAGACTTACAGTTTTTAGTCCTCCGGAGCCTTCAGGGAGGCCTCCTGAAGGCTCTGGAGGACTAAAAATGGCCCTACGGACAAACTGGAAGTGACTTCTGGTTTGCTCATAGGGTTGTTTTTTGCCCTCCAGAGCCTTCAGGGAAGCCTCCAGAAGGCCCCTGTAGGCTCTGGATGGCTAAAACCAGCCCTACGAACAAACTGGAAGTCCATTCCTGAACTTCCGGTTTGTCCATAGAGCTGGATGCTTCAGGGAAGCTTGCGCTCTGGAGGCTTCAGGGAAGCTCCTGAATTCTCCGAAGGGCCTCCAGGGGCGAGGGAGGCTGTTTCCGCCCTCCCCAGGCTCCTATAAAGCCTCTGGAGCTGGCCAGCTGACAGGGCAATGCCTCATGTGCCGTGACAAATGGCTCTGCGTGCCACCTGTGGCATGCATGCCATAAGTTCGCCATCCATATGCCATTATGTACAAATGGTTCTTTAAAAACCTCCATTGATGGAGCACCCACAATTTCTGGAGGCAAACATTTTTACTTATTAAGGATTGCTCTTTAATAATCCTCTACCTGTCATTTCTTGTCCTTCCTTGAAGTGTTTTGGAGAATAGGTTGATGCCCTCTTCTCTATGACTGCCTCTCAAATATTGGAAGATTACTTTTATGCCACCCCAGTCCTCTTTATTAGACAAGTCATGGGTTTCATCTCATATTGTGGACATGTGCACATGTTCTTCCAAGGGGAGGGTATGAAATTGTTTGGTTCCAGTGAGGCTGGACTAGACTGGACTAGGTTTGATTTGTTTCCTTCGTTGAGTGTCATGTTACCATTGGTCTATCTTTAAAGGTTCATTATTGTGTTAGTTAATTGTTCCTTATGGTGTTCAATTTGGTTGCAATCTTTCTTTTAATTGGAATTCCTTATTTTGTTGTTTAAATTTCAGTGGCTAGACTTGTCTCTAGTCCTTTTGCTTTTTCCTCCATTGTTTGTTCCTTGCTGTGTTTAGTATTATAGGAACTGAAGAGACTATGGTTATATAGGGCAACTGAACTGCCTGTCCCTAGATATATTTTCAAAAGAGAAACAGTCAAGAGAAAGTAACACACATCAAATTTAAAAAGAAACAATGATCACTTACCATAGTTTTTCTAATTTACATTTTGGGTATTGAAGCCCCTTACACAGAATGTTCACCATTCTGGCATTTGAATCCTCAACCCACAACCATAATTTTTTCAATATCGGGCTGTTCATGAGTACTCTTGCAAGATGCCAGCTGCAAGATTCAGTCAACCATTTTCCAAAAAGCCTGCAGGTATGAATCCCTCCAAATTATTATTATTTCTTGGAAAATAAACATAAACTATAGTCTTGAAGGAGCTGAAGAGAAGATGGAGAATATAGTTACGTATTTGCTGATAACAGAACTGCCTCTCCCATCTTAATAATTAATTTCATTTTTTAATTTCAGATCCATCTGGACCTTTACTCTGTATATAACTTTCCAAAGTCAACATTCTCATTACCTTTTTGTGGTTATTCCAAAATAAGAAATAAGATTTTTTATTTCTTACATTTACATAAACCCTATTTTGCTTAGGATTGAAAAACAATCAGTATAAAGAAACATACTATTCTGAAGGTTTCTAATACAAAGCAGATAACAAGCAATTTCCAGAAGTGATTAAGTTTGTGAACCTTGTGTCCTTGGACAAAGGTAGCAATTGCTTAGCAGCCAGATCTTGAAGCTCGCCAGAGACCTTTATCTTATGGTCTCCTCATGGGGAGACTAGAGTGCTTGGGAGCAATCTTAAGCCCTCTTCTTGTCCAGAGAGGAATGCTGATTTTGCCACTGCTTCCCTGGAAGTCTGGTAAGTCCAAATTATTCAGTGCCAACAATAATCAAAGTAATATACAGTACAAAGTTCTTGAAAGTAAGATGGAAATTAAGTTTTTCAATGTAGATTAGCAACTATTTCACAAGCCAATATTATATTAAAGCAGATCCCCAAATTTGTAAGTATAAGAAAGTTTTGAAGATAGTAATAGCAATAGCACTTAGACTTATATACCGCTTCACAGTGCTTTACAGCTCTCTCTAAGCAGTTTACAGAGTCAGTATATTGCCCCTCAATAATCTGTACCCTCATTTTACCAACCTTGGAAGGATGGAAGGCTGAATCAACCTTGAGATTGGTGAGATTCAAACTGCCAAATTGCAGACAACCAGCAGTCAACAGGAGTAGCCTGCACTATTGCATTCTAACCACTACACCATTATAGCTCTTCTACAGATCATTACTGTATTAAAGGAAGCTAGTAAACAAATGTTTACAGTGTAAGCAAAGCTGGAACTGACTTTTTCTGCATAAATCCTGATTTTTACTTTTCTCCCAGACCCTCCCCCTTGACTATTCATAAATCTTCCCTACTATTCAAATTGTGTTTGTGTAAGTCTTATGGTTTGGTGATTCTTTGGTAGACTTCTGCATTCCATATTCACATTTGGATCTGCCAGTCTGTTCCACCAGTTTGTTTCAGAATGGCACCTCTGGTTCCTGTCATCCTGTCAATCCCCTTCCCTGAATTCCCATTCTCCCTCCACTCTGCATACAGTGTAGTAGGCTGAAGTGATTATGATGGCAAAACTGGCAGAATATTTATAAATTACTGAGTTTATTTCTCCAGGAATAGATCTCAGAAAAAAAGTAATCCTTCAAACAGATTCTCAGCACTTAACAGCTAAGAAGGTATCTTTGCAGTCAGAAGAAACACAGCTCTTAAATCTCCTAGTAAATCTTGGAGGTCATCTTAATGCCTTTTTGACTATTTTTAGATAGAATTCTATCTAAAAAACACAAGTAAGTGAAGATAATGTGGTTATACATCAAACCTTTAATTCCTTTTCCTTAAATACTTTTCCAGAATTCAAGAGAAATGCACATCAGACTTAAAAAGAAACATGATTGCTCACCAGAGCTCTTCTACTTTACAGTGTCGATCTTGAAGCGCCTCACATATCATTTTGAATCGTTGCTCATTTGAATAACTTAGCACCAACCATACCTGTTTTATTGTCTGGCTTTTCCTAAATAGTTCTGCAACACGCCAGCTGCAGGATTCAGTCAACTCGGTACTAAGCCTATAAAAAAAAGATTCAAAACAATTAAAATTATTTCTTAAGAAAAGACAGTTAGCTTACCTGACTGGTCGTTCTATGTGCACCACCGGAGAATCTAAGCATGGGTTTAACTTTGTCCATTTGCCTTGAGACAGAGTTTAAAAAAAGGCCTGGCCATGCCCCTCTGGGTGGTCTAGTTCAGTTTTTTACAAAGGCGCAGCTGATCTGAGAGATGGAAATAAGGTTAAGTTCTGAAAAACACAACTAGAAGGTAAGGCCTCCCCAGAGACCCTGGACCAAACTGCCCAAGGATGGAGTTGGATTCTCCCGCGGCGCACATAGAACAACCATTCAGGTAAGTCAATGGTCTTTCTCCTATGCACCGCTTGGTGAATCCAAGCATGGGATATGCCAAAGCATATGGATCTAAGGGCGGGTACTGGATTGGTCCAGGGTCTCAGGAACCTCAATGACCCTCTGTAGTACATGTCGCTGAACCGATGCCTTAGTGGAGGCAAACACGTCCAGTTTATAATGTTTGATGATGGAGATGACCAAGTTGCCACCCTGCATATCTTCTCCACGGAAGCTTGTGTTGCCCAGGCAGCAATGGTAGCCGCACTCTGAGTGGAGTGGGCTGTAATATGCCTGGATACCCGCCTGGCATGGATCTCATGTGCTTTAACCAATGCCCCACTATGTTAGAGGTTAGCTTCTGACTCATAGTCACTGATTGAAAGGTGATGAATAACGATTCCGTCTTCCTGAAGGCCGCTGTTCTCTTGACATACCGGCATAGAGCCCTCCTTACATCAATGTGGTGCCATCTTCTCTCGCACGGATGTGTCGGTCGCGGACAGAAGTTTACAACTCTGTCAGTATGAAAAATGCAGAGATCTGGGCAAACCAAGAGGGCTGCCAGTTCTGATACCCTCCTGGCCGAGGTGATGGCCATGAGGAAAACAGTCATAAACTGATGGTGCGAAGCAGTTCAAATGGCTCGGATGTGAGGGCCTGTAATATGATAGGCAACTCCCAGTTGGGAAAGCGATGAACTGCTGGAGGTCTGATGTTCACCACCCCTTTTAGGAAGGTTCACTCCTGAGGATGATGAGCAAGAGTCTGGCCCTTGCCGACTTAGAGTACTGTAGATAAGTCAATTGACGATGAAGAGTGTTAGGAGTCAGAACCCTATCCAGTCTGTCTTAAAAGAAATCCAATATTTGTGGTACAGAAACTGATCTGGAAACTATGTGACGAGATCTGCACCATCTGCAGAATGCAGCCCAGATGCCATTATAAATCCGCGTGGTGGAAGGACACCTCGCCGCCTGAATCATGTAGATGACCATCACCTTGGTGCAGGAATGGAAAGCAGGCCCATTCCTGAAAGGCCAGATGGGGAAGCAGGCCCCAATCCAACTTCTTCAGCTAATAACCCCTGTGGAATGGCCACATCAGGAGAACACTCCTGATTAGCCTGCAGATTGGGGAGATGAGCAGGCTGTGAGTGGGAGAATAGAGTGTCCAATGCCAAGGCTGGAGGGCAGTTGCTATTGTGTATCCTTCTGGAGGACTTGGAAGGCTGTTTCCCCAAGGCTTTCTGCCTTTTCCTTGCCTTCCTATCAGCTGTAGCGGAAGTGGCCCAAGCCACTGACCTGCTTCCCCGGGATCTGGAAGAAGTGCCCTTGGGGTAGGCCTGGCCTCCCTAGCACTAGAAGTCCCCGGCGTGGGCTGCGATTCTGGGGAAACCTCTGCCCCAGTGCTGCTCTCTGATATAGTGGTCAGCCATCTTAGGGGTAGCCCACCACAGAATGTGGCTCTTATTGTATGAAGAGTGGAATTAGCAAAAAGGCCCTGTGGAATAGGGAGGCCAAAACTCTGCAAAACTGCACCCAATTAAATATGTTGGTGGAGCAAATAACTGCTGTCTGCCAACTCCAAACCTCTAATTAGGCTCTAGCCAGTCTGAATAGTGCGAGTGGACAGGAACGATGAGAACACTTTCCCTGAGGAAGCTCTGAGAACCGTGCCGCACCGAGCAGAGACAAACTGTGCAAAGGCATGGACCCAACATTCAACTTCCTGGTGCCAAAAGAACCAGTCGCCTCAGTAAGCAGAAGGCTTCAAAATGGCAGCCTATCAATCAAAATGGTGGCCATCACTAAAATAAAATGGCGCAAAATACAAAAAGCGGACACAGAGCAGAGTGCGAATGGCGTACTGGCTCCCAAAAATTCTGATAGGAAAACTCGCTGCAGCCCCTGCAAGCCCAGACACAATAAGGTGGCCAGGACTTGCGCAACAAAAGGAGGCTAGTCCGAGTGATCGGACAACAACTCCAGCTGCTAAGGAAGCTCGCCATACAGGAACCGACAATTCCATTCACAACGCCAAAGAAAACAACAACAACCATTGATCACCCTACTGCCGGTTAATCATCTCAGGGTAGTGGCAGTTCTAGCTGGCGGAGTGGGGAAACCAGCACACTCACCTCCAATCAATCCAAGTAAGCCTAAAAATATTTAGCTACAGATTCTAGTAAAAAAAAACAACTAATCACTTAAATAATTTTTGCCTAGAGAAAAATTATTTGTGACTCTCTAAGGCTGGACTGAGTTAAAAAACTGAACTAGACCGGCCAGAGGGGTGTGGCCAAGCAGTGCACAGGAGAACAAGCATGGGCTACATTGTTGTAGGAACTGAAGAGAATATGGTTATGTTTAGCAACTGAACTGCCTCTCCCTGGATCACTTACCATAGTTTTTCTACTTTACAGTTTCTGTGTAGAAGCCCCCAAAACATCATATGTGCTGTTTTGTCATCTATATTGTAGAGATACAACTTTAACTCTTTTAATTTCTGGTTTCTCCAAAATATATCTGCAAGATCCATGCTGCATTTTTGGGTCATGCCCTTTACATTCAGCCTGCAGGTATAAATCCCAAAAGTTATAATTATTTATGGGAAAAGAAAGATAGATATAAACATTCAGTTCTTGGGGAAACTGAAGAGAATATGGATGTTTGTGATAATACAACTGCCTCTCCGAGAATACATTTCCAAAACATAAGCAGGTACTTTTGCTTTTGGAACAATGAGAAACATTGATGAGATCAATATCAGTACTAATATTTTGAGTTTTATAATGAATTTTCTTAGAAATATAAATCTAACTGTATACATTTAATGAAGAAATGAATGGAAGAACTCTTTTTAAATATTATTATTACTGTAAATCCTTTATTTACTGATATTATATTTTTTATCCTCTGTGTATTTTCCTACCTTCTATTTATTCTGGTTTTGGCTTTGATGTTTCAAATAGAAAAATTATTGATCTTCACAGGTTTTATGCTGCCTGGCTCCTCCCCCCCCCCCAAATACATCCAGAGGTTATAGGTGTTTATTCAACACCCCCCCCCCCCCCCCAAAAAAACCCAGGGTGTTTTGGTTTTTTTTTACACCCCCCCCCCCCCCCCAAATAGATCCTCATTTCACAGATTCAGATTTGGAGCTCAGCACAGCAAAAATCATTGGGTAACTAAGTCCAGTGGGCACACATGAAGTCCAGGAAAACAGTTCACAAGTCGAATGAGTCAGGATATATGGCACAAGCACACAAGGCACAGCACTGGGTAGGTTGCTCTAGCACTGCTCAGATCAGGATTAAAAGGCAATACTGGTACAGTCCTTCATAAGAGGTGACTTTGCCTTCTTGTGAGTAGTCTAGCTCACTGGCATTGTGCCTGTCTCCACTCTGCTCTACTTGTCCTTGGATTGGGAGGAGGTGTGGACTCCAACTCCTCTTCATTGCTAACTGGTGGTAGTTGCTCCCAGTCCTCATTTGAAGACTCGCCAGGAGACTCACCTGGCTAACTTGCTGCAGCGATGCCTTGAATCACTTGGCTTCAACCTATTGCTCGCCCAATCGGCCCAATTGAGGCTGCTCCACCAAAATAGCACTTTCTGAGCCCCAATCCCCAAACACTCAGTTCCGTGCTTTCCTCTGCCAACTCAAACTCACTCTCCTCCTCCAAACTCATGCCAGCAGGGCATTTGAAGGCAGATCCATGACAAGTTTGAAACTACTAAATAACAGCTATGCTTGGCCTCCATTAAATCCAGGGAGAAGAGTCCAGCCAGCATTCAAACGTGACATCAGTTCTAGAGCTCCTAATCATAACAAATAACTCTCTGTAAAATGGGGAACTCCGTCAATATCAAGAATAAACATAAAAGGAGAAATACATTAGAATCATTTAAACAAAACACACAGCCTTTATAGAATCATAAGGCTGGAAGGGATTTTCAGGGTCTTCTAGTTCAACCCCTGCTCAAAGCAGGAGACATTATTGCATCCTGGAAATAGCTGCCCATTCTGTTCTTGAAGACCTCCAGGGATGAAGTACAACTCAAGGAGGCAAGCTGTTTCATTGATTAATTTTTTTTCCTGCCAGGAAATTTATCTTTAGTTCCAGATTGATCTCTCTTTAATGAGCTTCCAACCACTGCTTCCTGTCCTGCCGTCAGATGATTTGGACACACTCTTTTCTTTGATAGCCTCTCAAGAAGACAGCTATCACATCACCCCTCATTTATTTCCTCAATAGGCTACAGACACTTAGTTCTGTTAACTGTTAATTTAGGGGTAGAAGTAGGAGTAGGAACCTTCTTTAATGGCCAAGTGTAATTAGACATACAAGGAATTTGTTTCCAGTATTTAAGCTCTCCGTGTACATACCTGTAAGTTGCAGATCATAAATCATAATATACAATCTTTATATACATAAGATACAAACAAATAATAAAACATAAGATACTAGTAGGATAAGAAAGTAGGAAAGTTGAGAAAGATGAGAAGGCTGAAAAACATGAGAAGGGTGAGAAGATGAGAAGGATAATAGCAATACAGCCCTACTACAAAATATATTTAGAACTAAGAGAGTGCTGAAGGAATTAGGCATTTAGCAGAGTGATGGCATTTTAGCAAAAGCTCTCCTATTCTACCACTTCTTACAATATTAGACGACACAGTATCAACAGTAGAGACCTTCGGGTTTCAGGGTTCTTTAATCTCCCAGGACTTGAAATGGACACCTAATATCAGAACCATCATTAAAAAGACACAATAAAAATGCTCTTCCACCATCAATTCAGAAAGCTCAGATTGCCCAAGGAGCTACTGATACAGTTCTATAGAGGATTATTATCTATCATATAATCATATAAATTAGTCCATATAGGTGTGCAGGCCCAGCGTCTTATCATGTGAGCCACCATCCCACTCATAATCACTACTGTTGAGCCAAATACAGCCTATTCTATACAAGTGTGTTTGGTTTCCCTGCCTAAGTGTACGACCTAAGTTTTATCACCACTGAACTGCATCTCGTTCAATAGGGCCCAAAGCTCAACTCTTTCAAGATCTTTCTGAATCTTGAATCTGTTTTCCAATTCCCCCCAGCTTTGTGTCAAACTGAAAAAAAAAATACTGATCACTCACTCCAGTGTTTCTATTTCACATGGACGTTGGAGCGCTGAACACAACAATTCCACTGCACTGTGATTTGTATCTTCAAAGATAAAATTTAATTCCTTCAACTTCTGGTTTTTCCTAAAGACTTCAACAAGTTGCAATCTGCAGGATACTGTAACATGCAAGTTTTCCAACCTGAAAGTGCAGTAAATATTCAGAAGAATTAGAATAATACTTTCTGCTTCGGTTTACATTTTATTTATTTTTATGATGTATTTATTATAATTTTCAAAGAAGAATGGAAAGAAAAAGAGTACAATTACAAAATTAGATATATGAAAATTGATGAATAGATAATAATTGCACTCAATAAAAATTATAGATATGGGAATCAACAAATCTAAAATATTTTATGTCTAGGATAATAAATAAAATATTAAAAATATCCTATAAATAGTGTGTAGATTATACATCAAAGTAAAAAATGAACTATGAAACACTAATGTTGGATTTGGCACAATTTCATGTATGTAGTTGTCATCTTATCTGTATTCCAAACAGAATAGATTTCTAAATCCAATATCCTTTTAAAATATGAAGTGAACTTAGATAATGAACTACACTCCCACAATTTAGTTAGTCATGGGTCAACAGATGGGATCACCATCTTTTTCAAAAAAGAATATATAAAATTCTTTGTCCTCGGCCTTTGGCAACCAACAAGACAGCAAGCGGGATGCCTTCCACAATCCCGTGACATGCAAGTTCAGACAGAATTTTGAAAAAATGTTTTGTCCAATATGATACAAAGGCAATAATCAAGATAGCTACAAGCTTGGCACAAGTCGAGATGGGGAATTGAATCACAAGTAAGAGATGCAAGGAGAAAAGATAAGAGACCTGGTGATGGGAAGCTTGAGTCACCTGAGGCTTAAAATATTTTTCTCAGAATTTAGTCTCAGGGAGTGAGGCCAATAAGTCAACCATACTGATATTCCACCCAATATGCAACTGTGGCAGTTTTCTTCTTAGTATTGGGTTTTCTGCAGGTTGCCTTTGTCCCTGCCAAATTTCTCAGATCTACCAGGTTCTGCTCTATTTGAGGCTGTCACTGGAGAAGTGAAGGCATCCTAGGGGCTTACTGGAACTGACTCAACCAGGGTGTACTCATTGACTCTGTGACTAAAATGATCAAGGCCAAGACTATAGTCTCTAGAGCCTTTAAATGTAATTCTTCCCCATCATCCTCATCAGATAACATGATGAGCAGATCTATAGCAACTTTGAAGTCAAGCATGGTAGCTTAAACAGTCAGATGCCATGGCCACAAGCCAGTTTAGACCATCCAGTCCATTAGTTACCCACAGAATTGTCAAAGGACCAATGGGGGAGGAGAGTTAACCAATAATGGCCAGGTAAAGTGGAAAGTGGAAGGAGGGAATGACAGCTTGATGAAGAACAGTGGAGCTCTTGAGTGTTTGTGCCAGCACTCAAGGTCATACAGCCTGAGAAAGATTTTGGTTTAACCCAAATATTTCAGCATTCTGTGAACAGCTAGGTGAATCTTAATTGACTGGTGACAGACTGATCATGGGGGGAGGCTCGGATGAGGGCAATCTTTTTGCATGGGAACCTTAGTTCTATCCTGAACCTACTACAGCCAACATCTTTTAGTAAAAGAACCTATCACTTCACCTAAATGGAGTTGAGGATCTTTCTTTCCTAAGGAAACAAATTGGGGCACTTCTGACAATATGTCTCTGGCATGCAGCAGTGGGTTCCAGATCCCATTCCAACTGGTACGGTTGGAACGGACCCAGCATCATCCACATGGACACATGCAGTCTTACTGTCCAGTGATGACTCTATGAGCCTCCGTGACACTTCAGCTGCTCAGCGGAGCGTTGCGTAGGTGCTGCACATAGCGTGTGCGGAAGCGCCGAAGACTTTAAAGGCAGGTAAGGAGTGCAGGCGGGCAGGTGGGCCCTCCGGAGCACCATACTGGAACAGTACCCAGTGCTCCAGGGAGGCTCCAGTATGCCCGTACCAGGGCGTACCACCTCCAACCCACCATTGCTGGCATGTAACCAAATCATTCTGAACTCATAGAGTAGACACAGTGCTGAATTCAGATGCCTACAATAGTGAAAACTAATGATAGTTACTTGGAACCCTGGCAGAGGGTGGATTTGAAAACTGTTGCCTCTAATCAACACCAAAAGGCATTACCATATTTTTCGGAGTATAAGACGCACCAAGGTTTTGAAGAGGCAATTTTTTAAAAAAAGTAGGTAGGTAGATAAAGGGGGAGGAAAGAAATAGTGATAGAGAAATACAGTAGGTAGGTAGGGGGAGAGAGGGGGTAGGTAGGTAGGTAGGTAGGTAGGTAGGTAGGTAGAGGGATAGAGAGAGAAATAGAAAGGGAGAGAGAAATACAGTAGATAGATAGGGAGAGAGAGAGGTAGGTAGGTAGGCAGGTAGGTAGGTAGGTAGGTAGAGGGATAGAGAGGGGGGGAAATACAGTAGGTAGGTAGGGAGAGAGGGGGGTAGGTAGGGAGAGAGAGAGGTAGGTAGGTAGGTAGGTAGGTAGAGGGATAGAGAGAGAGAGAGAGGGAGAAATACAGTCGTTAGGTAGGTAGGTAGAGGGAGAGAGAGAGAGATAGAGAAAGGGAGAAATACAGTAGGTAGGGAGAGAGAGAGTAGGTAGGTACAGTAGGTAGATAGGTAGATGTTTCCAGGTGTGCATATCCATGTGCTGGAGAAGAAAATCGCTGACAATCTACAGCACTTAACTTTGTTCCTGCTGGCACAGCATTTGATCCACGTTATTCGCATCAATCAGTTAAAAGAGCTTTCCAAAAGGAAAAAATAGTTTTTGCACTTTGCAAACCTCCCCAAAACGGCCCATTTTTCATCAAAATGGGCCCGTTTTTTTTTCAAATAAAAGCCATGAAGAGCCTTGGGGTGGCTTGCAGAGTGCTCCTGGAGGAGGGTCAAAAACAAGCAAAATAACTGGCCCGTTTTTCGCAAAAATGGGCCCATTTTTTGTAAAGAAAATTGCATGTCTAGCCTTATAGAGGCTTATAAGGAATATGCCCTCAAGTATATTTCTAGGACTTTTGGATTGGTTATCTTGGCTCCAACTGTTGCCAGTATTACCATCTTTCACGGCTTGTGGACTACCAGCATTGACAGCTTTATTACCTCCTACTGCGACCCCTGGACTACCAACGGGGAGAGTGCCTGTTTATTCCATCTAAGCCAGGTATTTGCGGTATTCCACCTTTAGTACCTATGTTAGCTGGCTCCCCCAGTTCATCTTTATGGACCTGGCCTGTTGGACTCCTAGTTTAATATTTTCGTTCCCGGACTATGACCATTATTACGACCATCACCGGTCATTACCATTAACATCTCAGGAACTTTATTTTAGCCACCTTGACTATTACCCCTCTTATATTAGATTACCAGAGAAAGAGGTTACTCTATCTCCCTTACACCTCGCCAGCTTTGACCGGCAGATTGTGCCTCGTTCCACGTACTTACGTTTCTACGTAAGGATCTACTCGCCTAGCTTTAACATCTTTTTAATATTTGCGCAATTTCTCTTGTATGTAGTGTGAATGTGTGTGACTGTGAGTGAATGATCCCACCTTTTTAACTTAATGTAATCCCTTTGTTTATATTATATTGTTGTAACTTTTTAAATTTCTTGTGGGGGTTTGAGTGAGTGAGCACTTGGGTGTGTATGTGAGGTTTGGGATTGGAACTGGGTTCCCCCACACTGAGTGCTCTGCAGAAGTGTTGGGGGGATCTGGGCCATTCCAAATCTCAGGATGATTGATTCGAAGGGCCTGCCAGGGAATGCGGGGGCTATGGGGGTGTGTGGAGGGACCACGGACACGGGAGTGGGCCGGAACATTACGGTCTTAATAGGGAGGGGCAGATATGGTGGGGACTTTAGGGCT